GCCATGGGACCTCAGGCCTGTTCTTGACAGTGGTTTTACTACCTTCTGGAGGGACTCTGGGTGGTGGGCACTTTGCTGCTAGTATTCTAGGTTTCCTTGGTACTGGGGCTGATTCTTTAGGAGTGTTCTGTGGTACATGTTGGATGCTGGGACCTGAGGTCCTGAAGTGCACTACTGGGTTTCTTTCAGCACTTCTCTGTGGAAGGTCAGCTGGAATTCAGAGCATTGCTCTTCATTCCTCGGCGAGCTCCCTTTGACCTTTTTGAAAACAAGAAGAAGAAGAACAACATCAAACTCTATGTCCGCCGTGTGTTCATCATGGACAGCTGTGACGAGCTGATACCCGAGTACCTCAGTGAGTACCTCCTGAGCTTCGGTTATGTAGTGCACACAAACTCTTAGTAAATCTGCAGCATACAAACTTAGACTGTATTGTCTTTAGCCCAGATAATTACAGTCTTTGGCTTCCCAAACCTTCACTTGACTGGGTGGTTTGAATCTGATAACCAGGCCAGGTTTGATGGGCTGTGCCTTGCTCTGGTTGATTGTAGACTTCATCCGCGGCGTGGTTGACTCTGAGGACCTGCCCTTGAACATCTCCCGAGAAATGCTGCAGCAGAGCAAGATCCTGAAAGTCATCCGCAAGAACATCGTGAAGAAGTGCTTGGAGCTCTTCTCTGAGTTGGCTGAAGACAAAGAGAACTACAAGAAATTCTATGAGGCCTTCTCTAAGAATTTAAAGGTAAAATGGACAAGTGTTTTCTCTCCTGATTACTTTGTTTAGGGTATTATTTCTTTCCAGCTCATAGGACTCTTTCTTTGCCTATAGCTTGGGATCCATGAAGATTCTACTAACCGCCGGCGCCTCTCTGAGCTGCTCCGCTATCACACCTCTCAGTCTGGAGATGAGATGACCTCCCTGTCAGAATATGTGTCTCGCATGAAGGAGACACAGAAGTCCATCTACTATATCACTGGTATGGAGGAGCTTGGGTATGACAGAAAGAAAGCTGCCTTATGTGGGAGATTGGGGAGGGACAAGTGGCAATATGGAGGCCTTTTGGTTACTGGGTCATGTTTAATAATCCTATAGGTGAGAGCAAAGAGCAGGTGGCCAATTCTGCCTTTGTGGAACGTGTGCGGAAGCGGGGCTTTGAGGTGGTGTACATGACTGAGCCTATTGACGAGTACTGCGTGCAGCAGCTCAAGGAGTTTGATGGAAAGAGCCTGGTCTCTGTGACTAAGGAGGGCCTGGAGCTGCCAGAGGATGAGGAAGAGAAGAAGAAGATGGAGGAGAGCAAGGCAAAGTTTGAGAATCTCTGCAAGCTCATGAAGGAGATTTTGGATAAGAAGGTTGAGAAGGTGAGTTTGTTGGAAGTTTGCCCCCTAGAAATGTTACTGCTGCTGTATAGCTACTGGATGGCAGCAGATAACAGCTCTCTAGGCCCTTCTTCCCCCAGCAATATTGTCACTCTTGATGAGAAGGGTAGGAACTTTTTTTCATAACAGTGATTATCCCACATAAAACATTAGAAAAAAAAAGGCCCCTGGGCTGGAGAGATGGCTCAGAGGTTAAGAGTATTGCCTGCTCTTTCAAAGGTCCTGAGTTCAATTCCCAGCAACCACATGGTGGCTCACAACCATCTGTAAAGGGGTCTAGTGCCCTCTTCTGGCCTGCAGGCATACACGCAGACAGAATATTGTATACATAATAAATATTTTTTTTTTAAAAAAGGCCCTGATGTGTTGCCCAGAGTTTTTGTTGTTTCAAGGTAGGGTTTCTCTGTAGCTTTGGAGCCTGTCCTGGCACTCACTTGGTGGATCAGGCTGACCTCTAACTCAGGGGTACTCTGCCTGTCTCCTGGGATTTAAGGCATGTGCCCCCACTGCCTGGCTGCCCAGGTTATTCTTGAATCCCTGAACTCAAGCTACCTTCAGCCTTCATAGTAGCTGTAGTCTATTCATCTTCCATACTTAAAGCAAAGAACTTTACATACAGCAGTTCCAGGGCAGCCAAGGTTACATCTGTGACTTTGTCCACAGGTGACAATTTCCAATAGGCTTGTGTCTTCACCCTGCTGCATTGTGACAAGCACCTATGGCTGGACAGCCAATATGGAGAGGATCATGAAGGCCCAGGCACTTCGAGACAACTCTACAATGGGTTACATGATGGCCAAAAAGCACCTAGAGATCAACCCTGACCACCCCATTGTGGAGACCCTGAGGCAGAAGGCTGAGGCTGACAAGAATGACAAAGCTGTTAAGGACCTGGTGGTGCTGCTGTTTGAAACTGCTCTGCTCTCCTCTGGCTTCTCACTTGAGGATCCCCAGACCCACTCCAACCGCATCTACCGCATGATCAAACTAGGCCTGGGTGAGTGAGGGAGGCTAGGCTTGTGAGCTATAGGTGGCAAGTTACTGAACTGGCTGGCTAGACCCTTGGACAGACTTTAATACTACCATCTTGTTCAAATCTTTTTTTAGGCATTGATGAAGATGAGGTGACAGCAGAGGAGCCCAGTGCTGCTGTTCCTGATGAGATCCCCCCACTTGAGGGTGATGAAGATGCCTCCCGCATGGAAGAAGTAGATTAGAGATGCCCTGGGAAGATCATGTCCTCTGTATAGTTTCCCTGTGCTCCCCCAGCAGCCTTGACTGGCCCTGACCTACCTGGCTCTCTGCTCATGCTAGAGGATCTCTTACCCTGTCTTGTGCCTTAAGGCAGGAAAATCCCCTCCCACAGAATAGCAGGGTTGGGTATTGTGTATTGTGTTTTTGTTTTGTTTTATTTGTTCCAGAATTAAAAGTATGCAAAAATAAAGAAAATGCAGTTTTATGTAGTCCTGTTCTCCTTGTAACCCTCAGGATGCTGTGGTGATGGGTACATTCACTTCTTCCCTTGAGTCCCTTTCAGCCAACCAAAACACATGGCCAAGTCACTGCTGCAGTTTAATCAAATAAGAGCAAAAGGTGACAAGTACCAAAACTTGAGCAAAGAACACAAGGGTCCCAAGGGGCTGGGCAGGGCTCTGTTGCCTTTGGCACAGCACCATTTTCACTGACACCCCCTCCCCAAGGTAAACCACATTAGGGCCTGTAAACGTTTTTTTTCTTTTTTTGTGCTGTTCTTGAGGGGTGGGTGTTAAGGGAACAAGCAAAGGCCTGGTACTGGTTCACAGGTCCACCAGCTAATCTCAGATTGGGGGAGCTCCATGTGGATCACCTCTAACTCAGACCCACAACTACCACTTGCATGAATAGTAGTAGGTGGGGCTCTTAAGGCAAGGCAAAAAGAGGCTGCCTCCAGGGCTCCTAATCCTCTGCTGTATACTGAGAATATTTTGCCCTTGAGCCAGTGCCTCTGAGAAGCTACAGAAACCAGAGTGAGGGTCCTTATTCCATTCCTCATACCTTCTGCACTGGGGACTCAGTTGGAACAGCCTTCTTTCCCCGCTGCTTACGGCCCCGGGCATAGACTCTGAGTAGAAGGGCAGTGAAGACCACAGCCACTCCTAGTCCCCCCACCACAGTGACAGTGTGACCATAAAGAAGGCAGGAGAGAAGGATGGCAATAGCCTGGCGGAGAGTCATGATGATGGTGAAGACAGCGGCTCCGAACTGTCCAATGGTATAGAAGATGAAGAGCTGACCGAAGGCAGAGCAGATGGAGAGGAGGAGGGCATGGAACGCAAACTCACTGTGCCGCCCCATGAAGCGGGCTCCCTCCAGTAGGGCCCCCTGCTCCAGTAGTGAGCCTACTGTGAAAAGACAGGAGAATAAATTGACCCCAAACATCATCTGCACTGAAGACATCTTATAGGCAAACAGGGCATCCTGCCAGTTTGAGGTGAAGCTGTCAAAAGCGATGTAGCCTGCCAGTAGGACCAAGCCTGAGAGTGTGGTGGCTGGAGAACTTCGGGGCTCTGGTCCACTAGACAGCAGAAACATGCTCACCCCAATGGAGATGAGGCCAGCAGTCAGGTATTCCCAGTGTTCATAGCTTCGTCTAGATACCAGCTTTCCCATCATCATGACGGGAATCACCTTGGAGGCCTTGGCCAGTACCTGGGTAGGGAAGCTGACGAATTTAAGTGCTTCATATTGGCACCAGCTGCTGAGCACATTTGACAGACTGGCAAAAGAGTATCGGTACATGGGTGCCCCATGACGGGGTTGCTTGCGTAGGACACAGTAGAGACCTGCCACAATCAATGCCAGCACACGGTTCATTAGCACCAGGAACTGTGAGTCCGTGAAGTGCTCGCCTGGTGATGTGTCTGTGGCTCCATAGCTGCCGGTCATCACTCTTTCCTGCAGTACACCCCAAGTCAGATAGGACACCTGGGAGGAGGGGAAGAATGGCACTAGTAAACAAAAGGAAAAGGGTCCTTCATTTTCTCCCTTCCTTGGGATGATGGCATGTGATGTAACGGAAAGCACCCTTTTGGTTTCTCTCTGGTAAAGGTTTCTTTTCTAAGTTTTACTTCACCTTGTAGGGAATCAAATGGAGTTGTAAACATAGTGACACCTGCTTCAGGACTGGACACTGTCCAACTTCTTGGCACAAGTTCATTAGTGCTGGCTCCATATACCATATAAAGTTTTATTTTGAACCAATTCAAAATAAATTGGGATGTTTGGAAGCCTCAGGGAGGGCTGGCCACTTTCAGTTCAACATATAATCTAAGGTGAACTGGCATCCACTCCAAACTATGGCCCGTGATAGTATCCCACACACGGAGAGGCTGCCTAGATTCTTGTGTGTGTGGTCCCGGGGATCGTTTAAGGTTTGTACATGGCAGGAAAGGGCTCTACTTTTGGGTTGTACCCCCAGAGCCCCTCCCACATTATTATTTTCAGACAGGTCTCACTACACAGTCTTAGTTATTCTGAAACTTGACATGTAACCAGGGCTATCTCCAACTCAAAGATCCACCTGCTCTGCCTCCCACACGCTGGGACAAACCCACCATACGCTTGATTTATTTTATGTTTTGACAGAATCTCATACTAAATTGCTCAGGCAAGCCTTGACACCCTTCTTCCCCTTTCTGTTGGTTTTTCGAGACAGGGTTTCTTTGTGTAGCTCCAGCTGTCCTGGGATTTACTCTGTAGACTAGGCTGGCCTTGAACTCAGAGAGGTCCTCGAGCCTCTGCCTCTAGAGTGCTGGGATTAAAGGTGAGTGCCATCACCACCAGGTGCAGGCCTTGAACTTTCAATCCTTCTGTTTCAGCTTCCAAGTTTTGCCACCATGCCTGGGATTCCCCCAAATTTTGTCAGCGAGATTATATATACAGAAAGCAGAAAAAGAGCACAGAAAAAAAAAATACAGAAAAGACACACTAGACATCATTACATATGTGTACGGTGAAATTTCAGTACAGGTACGGAAGGAGGAAAAGGTAAGAGGAAGAAAGCACTTCAACACTTTCAGGGTGGGGCCGTGTCCTGCTCCTGCAAGGACATAAACCATACCTAAATCAACAAACCTTTGGTGTGGGCAGGGCAACTTTGGTTTTATTAAGTTCCTGGCTATCTGGACCCAATCTGGCAAGAGAAGGGGAGCCTGTCTACTTACCTGGAGCCCCGAGGCACAGAAGACCAGCTTCAGGATCTGCCAAGACGGGGTAGTATCTGCCGTAGCATCTGCCCGAGGAGTTAGCGGAACTTCATCAGAGGCCTTAGGCTCACTGCCAAACACACAGGCTTTCACCAGCGGAAAGCAGAGACCCCTGCCTGAAGAAGACACACAAAGTCAAGCCCCACAAATTCTCCAGGGCAGTCAGCAAGCTCCCCACCCCGACCTACTGACCTCCCTCCCTTCCCAAGTCACAGTCTGCTTTGAATGTCTGTCAACACCTGCAATAGAACCTGGTTTGTTTCCCTACCCTTTAACCACATTACCTGTCTCTAGGTAGTTCTTCCGTCTAAAGTATTGTACCAGAAGGTAGCCAGGTACCATAAAGCTGGCATAGCCAGCAGCATTCAAGAAAAAGCGGGAGAACCACAGCTGTGTCCAGGACTGCGGAGGGGCTTCGGGTGACTCTCCACCTGCTCCCAAAGAAGGGAGCGCGGCGAGCACCACCAATGTCCACCATCTGCTGGGACAGCCAAAGCAGCGATTAGGGTTGAAGCTCTTCAGCCCCTCTGCCCTCCGGAGGGGACTGTACCAGGGAAGTGCCCAGTGGCGTCCCCGCCCCCTCCGCTGCAGTCCAGCGAGACAGACAAAGAGCCTCTCTCTCCCTCTCTCTCGGGGGGTCCGACGCAGGCCAGGCAGAACCTCCTCCCTTCCCAGGGGCGGCCCCGCCTGCCCAGCCACATAGGTCGCCTCTGTTCCCTCCAGCGCGCGGGCAGCTCAGGCCACAGGCGCCCCCCCCCTCCCGCTCCGGAGCGCCACAATCCCACGTCTCCTCCGGACGACACTCCCGAAGCCACCCAGGATCACAGGCCACACGCCGCACACCCATTCACACTGGCTCCCTGACAGCGCCACGCGGGTCTGCAGCTGGAAGACCCCACCCCGCCTCCCAAGCCCTGGGGTCTCGGTCACGTGGCCCCGGGGTCTCAGTCACGTGGACCATGGCTGGCCGAGCCCCCCACCTGGCGTCCATGGCCCAGCCGCGTGGGGCGGAGGGGGGACCGGGGAATGCGAGTCCCCGGGCCGCACGCTCCCTCCGCTCCCTTCGCCACCCGCTCCAGCAGCCAGCTAGCCAGCCAGCCAGCGGAAGTGCCGCGCTCTTCCCGCCTCCTCCCCGCCTGAGCCCCTCCGCGACGCCCCGGCCACAGCGCCCCCGCGCGGCCCGGAGGCAGACCAGGCCCGGTTCTCGCGGGGAACCCCAGTTGGGACTCCCTCCCTATTCGTCAACTTGCTTGGTCACAGCCATCCCAGACACAGTGACGACTGTTGCCACCTAGCGGAATGGACTTTTGAGTATCTGAGACCAAGCACTTCCCCTTAAGTTTTACCTTTTTTTAACAATGATGTCTCCTTTCTGTTATCCCCCTAGTACCGGTGACCGTGACCTTCCAGACACTGCACGACCTCGTGCGTCCTCCTCGCCCACTCACTCGACCAACCCTGTAGAATCCTGCTGACCTGTTTTCAGTTCCTTTAACTCATGGGAGGCCTTCCCCCGATGCTCTGCCCCTTTCTTTGCTCATCCTATGTCACAACTTCTGTCTCTTTCGGTTTTTCCAGACAGGGTTTTTCTGTGTAACAGCCCTGGCTGTCCTGAAACTCACTTTGTAGACCAGGCTAACCTCGAACTCACAGAGATCCACCTGCCTCTGTCACCGAAGTGGGATTAAAGGTGTGTGTGTGATAACCACCACCAGGCTCTATGTCCCAGTTTCTAGGCCACCAGTCTGAAGCTTCCTTGGTCACCCAAAATAATAGTTCTCCACCCACTCCACTGCCCTCCTTCCTGCCAGTTTTCCCCCTCCCAGCACCCATTGCAGCTTCTGACCACGTATTTAGTTGCCTATAGTTTTAATAGCTGTCCCACTCACAGGATGCACTTGCTTAGGGTTTATAAGCACTAAGCATCACAACTATGCTGGTTTATTTCTTCTTGTTCTTCATGGCGGTCATGGGCCTGACCTAGCAGGGCCCTCAGTGTGTGGAATCTAAGGGGAAGGAAAGTAGAGTTGCAACAGCTCTCTTGTGCCCAGCATCTCCAGGGACATGTCTCCAAATTCCTCCATCCCTGACCATTCCCACATGAAGGAGATGTGTCTGTGTTGGCAGAAAGTAGGCCTGAGAACTCCCAGGCCTCCCACCCTACCCAGTAAGTGTTATAATTCCGCCACCCAGGTGACAGGGAAAGCCAACAGAATTAT